AGTTATTACCACTCATAACTACTAGGGTTTAATGAAGCAAGAAACTGAAGTTAGGAACCAGAGCTGGGAATTGAACCAAACCAGCCCAATGTAGAAGGCAAATGTCTTATTTACTGGGCTGAACACTTGCTCCCTCTTTTGTCCTTTTGCTTATAGTCAAACTGGAGTGAAGTGAAACTTCTTTTTTTTTCTTGTTTTTAAAGATTTATTCATTTTTTTAACTTCTATTTAATAAATATAAATTTCCAAAGTACAGCTTATAGATTGCAATGGCTTCCCCCCCATAACGTCCCTCCCACCTGCAACCCTCCCCTTTCCCACTCCCTCTCCCCTTCCATTCACATCAATATTAATTTTCGATTCGCTTTATATCCAGAAGATCAGTTTAGCATATATTAAGTAAAGATTTCAACAGTTTGCTCCCACACAGAAACATAAAGTGAAAAAAACTGTTTGAGTACTAGTTATAGCATTAAATCTCAATGTACAGCACACTAAGGACAAAGATCCTACATGAGGAGTAAGTGCACAGTGACTCCTGTTGTTGACTTTACCAATTGACACTCTTGTTTATGGCATCAGTAATCACCCTAGGCTCTTGTCATGAGCTGCCAAGGCTATGGAAGCCCCCTGAGTTCTCCGACTCTGATCATATTGAGACAAGGCCATGGTCAAAGTGGAAGTTCTTTCCTCCCTTCAGAGAAAGGTACCTCCTTCTTTGAAGACCTGTTCTTTCCACTGGGATCTCACTCGCGGAGATCTTTCATTTAGGTTTTTTTTTTCCCCCAGAGTGTCTTGGCTTTCCATGCCTGAAATACTCTCATGGGCTTTTCAGCCGGATCCGCATGCCTTAAGGGCTGATTCTGAGGCCAGAGTGCTGTTTAGGACTGCTGCCATTCTATGGGTCTGCTGTGTATCTCGATTCCCATGTTGGATCATTCTCTCTCTTTTTTATTCTATCAGCTAGTATTTGCAGACACTATTCTTGTTTATGTGATCCCTTTGGTTCTTAGTCCTATCATTATGATCAATTGTGAACAGAAATTGATCACTGGGACTAGTGAGATGGCATTGGTACATGCCACCTCGATGGGATTGAATTGGAATCCCCTGGTATGTTTCTAACTCTACCGTTTGAGGTAAGTCAGCTTGAGCATGTCCCGAATTGCACATCTCTTCCCTCTCTTATTCCCACTCTTATATTTAACAGCGATCATTTTTCAGTTAAGTTTCACTTAAGAATAATTGTGTATTGATTACAGTATTCAACCAAAGGTATTAAGTAGAACAAACAAAAAAAAATACTAAGAGGGATAAGATATTAAGTTGCTCATCAACAGTCAGGGTGAGGGCTGATCAATTCACCGTTTCTCATAGTGTTCATTTCACTTTAACAGGTTTCCTTTTTGGTGCTCAGTTAGTTGTCACCTATCAGGGAGAACAAGTGGTATTTGTCCCTTTGGGATTGGCTTATTTCACTCAGCATAGTGTTTTCCAAATTCCTAACAGGGATAACTTTTCAGTTAAAATTTAAACACGTAAGAATAATTGTGTGTTAATTACAGAGTTCAACCAATGGTACTAGAAAAAAAAATACTAAAATGGATAAAGTGTTACATTGTACATGAACCGTCAGGACAAGAGCTCATCAAGTCACTGTTTCTCATAGTGTCCATTTCACTTCAACAAGTTTCCCCTTTGGTGCTCAGTTAGTTGTCGCCGATCAGGGAGAACATATGATATTTGTCCCTTTGGGACTGGCTTAATTCACTCAGCATGATGTTTTCCAAATTCCTCCATCTTGTTGCAAATGACCGGGTTTCGTTGTTTTTGACTGCTGTATAGTATTCGATAGAGTACATGTCCCATAATTTCTTTATCCAGTCTACTGTTGATGGGCATTTGGGTTGGTTCCAGGTCTTAGCTATTGTGAATTGAGCCGCAATAAGCATTGAGGTGCAGACAGCTCTTTTATTTGCCATTTTAATTCCCTTTGGGTAAATTCCAAGGAGTGGGATGGCTGGGTCGAATGGTAGGGTTATATTCAGGTTTCTGAGGAATCTCCAGACTGATTTCCATAGTGGCTTTACCAGTTTGCATTCCCACCAACAGTGGGTTAGTGTCCCTTTTTCCGCACATCCTCGCCAGCATCTATTGTTGGTAGATTTCTGAATGTGAGCCATTCTAACTGGGGTGAGGCGGAACCGCATTGTGGTTTTGATTTGCATTTCCCTGATTGCTAGTGATCCTAAACATGTTTTCATGTGTCTGTTGGCCATTTGGATTTTTTCTTTTGAAAAATGTCTATAGAGGTCCTTGGCCCATCTCTTAAGTGGGTTGTTTGTTTTGATGTTGTGGAGTTTCTTGATCTCTTTGTAGATTATGGTTATCAACCCATTATCAGTTGCATAGTTTGCAAATATTTTTTCCCATTCTGTTGGTTGCCTCTTCACTTTCCTGACTGTTTCTTTTGAAGTACAGAAACTTCTCAATTTGATGCAATCCCAATAGTTGATTTTGGCTTTGACTGCCTGTGCTTCTGGGGTGTTTTCCAGGAAGTCTTTGCCTGTGCATATATCTTGCAGAGTTTTCTCCAATGCTCTCTAATAATTTGATCGTGTCAGGTCATAGATTTAAGTCTTTAATCCATGTTGAGTGAATTTTTGTGTAAGGTGAAAGGTAGGGGTCTTGCTTCATGATTCTGCATGTGGAAATCCAATTTTCCTAGTACCATTTATTGAAAAGTGAAACTTCATTGCAATTTTTATCTACATTTCTCTGATGATTACTGATATTGAACTTTTTTTTAATGTACTTGTTGGCCATCTTAATGACATGGGCAACTCTTTCTTTCTTGCCTTCTTCAATGTGCCTTTTCTAATTATTACATGAATAACAGGGATTATGGTATCTTATCTGGCTTCCTAGTTCTTGTAAACATGGTTAGGTTCTTGAATAGTTGTTCAAATTGCTGTCCATGTGGGCTTGATGATCGTTGGAATGTCTTAGTCACCATCTTGCTCTACCTCATAAGTGTATACATTTTTTAAAGACAGTAATACTATATGTTTAGAGAGGTTGTTATTTACTAGGATGTCAGCATATTTGTCCTTAAGAATTGTTACTACCTTTTTGGAAAAAAATATGGATATTCCTAATTTGGCTAAGACTAATAGAAGAAATCTTATTATGAATGTGTTAGAATTGGATGTTCATTTGTTTGAGTGTAGCGTTCAAAACAAAAAATGTACTAGGGCCCTACTCTTAACCTTTCTCAACCCTGGATTCTAGAGATAAGTTACTGCTTATAGACAGAGCTCCATGAACTTTTGGGTTCCTTAATGTAGAATATAATCTTTTACCATTGTTGAAGTCAAATAATTTTTAGACTAGCTGGAACACTGAATGATAAGAATGCAATTCAGCAAGTGACTTCTGGATTAGATAGAAGCCATCCACTGTATGGTCCTATTTACTTTGTAATTTTTGTAAATTATGTGTTATACAACTTGTTACTTGAGAGATAAGCAGAGATAGCACTTATTTAGCTACTTGCCCTAGCTGATTGCATGGACAAGGTTACAAATAGTTTTTGGTCCATTTATCTATTGTTTCATATAAGAAAATTTTGTTTCTCAATTTTTGAAATCCTTTATTTTTCTTCATGTTAACTAAATAAAAATTCTGTTAGTATTTTCTCAACTGAGGAGTTTTTGATATATGAAGGGTATTAAAAAAGTTTGGGAAAATGAATATTATGAAAAATTATGCATGGATTTCAAAGTTTTTTTGTATCAAATAAGCTTACTTTTTAATTCCATTTTCCAAGAACTTTTGAATTACCTTTGTATTGATGAAACATTTGAGTATACTTAGTTGCATTATATTTTTAAATATGGGAAGTTTGAGGTGTCTTTTTCTTTCTTATGTATATTTATCTGTCTCAGTACATTCTAGAACATGAATAAACATTTCAATAACCATCTTGTACATGAATTTAAAATAATATTATGAGGCCAGCACAGTGACAGTGAGAGGGAGAGACAGAGAGAAAGGTCTTCTGTCTGTTGGTTCACTCCCCAAATGCTGCAATGGCTGGAGCCAGACTAATCCAAAGGCAGGAGCTTCTTCAGGTCTCTCATGTGGGTGCAGGGGCCCAAGTCCTGGGGCTGTCTTCTGCTGGTTTCCCAGGCCATAGCAAGAAGATGAATCAGAGGTGGAGCAGCTGGGACTTGAACCAGTGCACATATGGGATGCTGGCACTACAGGCTGTGGCTTTACCTGCTATGCCACAATGCTGGCCCCAAAATAAGAGATCTTAACCTACAAATTCAAGAAGTTCATTGGATCCCACATAAGATGTAAGGAAATCCATAGAAAGATATATTAGCACCAAAGAGAAAGAAAATCTTAAAGCCAAAGAAAAAAATTGAATTACCTATAAAAGAGGAATGCTTTCCTATTTTTGGTATTTTTCCCTGGATATTTAAATTTAGGGAAATAATTTTATAAACTCAAGGAGGTCAACTCCCTAGTTTGGGAGAATCTTTTATTTTTGTCTAAACCTTTGTAATACAAACTAGTTTATCCTTTTTTTTTTTAGTTTTTCTTTGATGAACACTCTGGGTAAAGGGCAGCTGCAACACTCCTAAATTATAACCTTCCATCATTTCATTTTGCAGGGGAGAGGTGACAGATTTTCTTACTTCCTTGTAAGGAATTTTGATGTGTTTAAGATTTTAATAGTAATGTTTTATTTAAAATTGTAAGTAATTTTCAATAGGAGGTTAATCTAGGTGTCTGGCTACTGTGGCACCAACAATTTCAATTGTTTATTCAATTTAATTCTAAAAGCAAAGCCACTAATATCTTTTTAAAAAGCCTTTTAATTCAGATTTTTTTCTACAGTATACCTACCTTTCTGCAAACTGGATGTTAAATCTTAAAAAAGGCTTTGCTCCAACTCCATCATATATTTTATATTCTCCCTGTATTTACAGATTTATTTAAAGAGATTATGGTTCTTAATAATATCAGAAATGATAAGATGCCTGTAAATGAACTGAGTTCCAAACTCTTGAGTGCTGGAATTCCATTGAGCAACAAGATGTTCCAAGAGATATTGAGACAAGCATCTATTGATGGTAAATCCTTTATGAAAGAGTAATCTATGTTAAGCTTACCTAAGTCTTAGTTGTACTGTGTACTTGGGATATCTGTTTTATACATGTATATTTTATTTTGTAATTAATGAAAATTTATTTTTAATTGGCAAATGAAAAGTTATATATATTATGTTCAATGTGATGTTTTGATATATGCATAGATTGTGGAATAATTAGATTTGCTTTTTAATGTATCTATTACATTATATTCTTATGTTTTTGTGATAAATTTTGAAATCTACTCTTTTAGTAATTTTCAAATATATATTATTAATTATAGTCATCTTGCTACACAATAGATATCCAGAAATTCTTTCTGTCTAATTGAAACTTTCCTCTCTTTAACCAACATTTCTCCCATACACCCCATGCCAGCCCCTGGTGACCACCATTCTACTCAATTTTTTAAATTTTTACATAAAAATTATATCATGCAGTATTTGTCTTTTTGTATTGGCTTATTTCACTAAGCATGCAGCCTTTCAGATTCATCTGTGTTGTTTCAAATGACATAATTTCATTCTTTTCAAAGGCATACTAATATTCCTGTGTGTGTCGGGGTGGGGGTGTGTATGTCAGTTTCTTCTCCCATCATTACTGATAGACCCTTAAGCCGATTCAGTATCTTCACTATCATGCATAATGCTGTAGTGAACACCTGGGTGCAGATATCTCTTTAGTATACTGATTTCACTTCCTATGGCTATATAACAAGAAGTGGAAGTGCTAGATCATATTATGGTGCTGTTTTTAATTTTTTGAGGAATTCCATGTTGTTTTCCATGATGGCTGTACTAATTTTTCTCCCATTATTGATGTGTAAGTGTTCCCTTTTACCACATCCTTGCAAACACTTGTCATGCTTTATTTTTTTCGTTTTTAAGAAAATATTTATTTGAAAGGTAGAGCTGGTGGGGGGGAGGGAAGACAGAGAGTGATATCTTTCATTCGCTGGTTCACTCCCCAAATGGCTGCAATGGCCAGGGCTGTGCCAGGCTGATGCTGGGAGCCAGGAGCATCTTTAGGGTCTCCCCTGTGGGTTTAGGGGCCAAGGGACTTGAACCATCTTCTGCTGCTTTCCTGGGCACATTAGGAGGGATCTAGATGGGAAGTGGAGCAGTCAGGACACAAACCTGCAATCATATGGGATGATGGCACTACAGGCTGTGGCTTAACCCACTGTGCCACAGGGCTGGTCCTTATCTTTTAGACAGAAGCCATTCCTAGAAGGAACAGATAAATTGGGTCTTAGAAATAAAAGGTATATTGAAAGCTAATTAAGAGTCATATTCTCTATCCTGGGAATATTTCTAAGAGGCATCCTCTGTTTTTGGTTAAATTTATTGTATGTATTTATGAATGTAGATTAAACAAAACAAAGTAAATATAGATTATATCCATTATACATTTATTATAGTTATTTTATATTCATGCCAATATAACATAAATGCATAATGAATATAATCTATAAAAATGTATATTGGACTTAATAATAGACAAAGAGGATTGTGTCTTAAAATATTTATACCTCTGTAAGTACACATATGTGTATATAAGTATGCAATTATTTAAGCCAAGTAAGTTTATGTAGTTAGAATTCCTTTTTGGTTTTGAAGAAACAGATTCTGGATTAAATTGATTGGTTTTTATTCTGCTTATTTAAAGAATTTATAAAATTTGCTTATCTTCACCCCCTGTCATGATTATCTAATGATTATTAGCATTTACATTTTTCTATTTCATGTCAAATCTTATGTTTTACATTTTAGAAAACAGCGAAGTAAGTCTCAAAGAAATCTTGGAGAATTTGAGCAAGAATAAGCCAGCTCCTATATTGGAAGGTAGGATAATCAATATTTCTTTTTATGTATTTGCCATGGTTTTCATTGCTTATTTTATGATTATTTAAAAAATGGCATTCTGATATATAAAATTACATATAATTATACATTATATATTTTAATACTTAAATTGTACAGTAAATTTGATAAGTGTTGCCATATGCATACATCACCCCAATCAAGATTATAAGCATATTCCTCACCTCCAAAATTTCTACATATCCCTTTGTAATCTCTGCTATTTTTCTCCACCCTCCTTTCCCACATCCTCAGGGAACTCCTGATCTGCTTCCATCACTGTAGATTTGTGTGTACATTTTCAAAAATTTAGAAAATAGATGTATTCTCTTTTGGCTGTTTTTTTAACAGTTATTTTGAAATTAATCCATGTGTATCATCTAGCATTAGTTCAATCTTTTTATTGCTGAGTAGTAATTCATTTTCTTTTTTTTTTTTTTAAAACTTTTATTTAATGCATATAATTTTCCAAAGTACGACTTATGGATTACAATGGCTTCCCCCCCATACCGTCCCTCCCACCCACAACCCTCCCCTTTCCCACTCCCTCTCCCCTCTCCCCTTCCATTCACATCAAGATTCATTTTCGATTATCTTAATATACAGAAGATCAGCTTAGTATACATTAAGTATGGATTTCAACAGCTTGCTCCCACACAGAAACACAAAGTGAAATATATGTTTGAGTACTCGTTATAGCATTAAATCTCAATGCACAGCACATTAAGGACAGAGATCCTACATGAGGAGTAAGTGCACAGTGACTCCTGTTGTTGACTTTACCAATTGACACTCCTGTCTATGGCATTTTCTAGATATATCAGTTTATTTATTTGATGATACACATTAGGTTGTTTTCCATTTTTGGCTTTTACAAAAGCTGCTGTGGACAATCATATGTAAGTTATTGTATATACCTATGCTTTCATTTCTCCTGAGTGTTTACCAAGGAGGTATTGGCTGAATCATATTGTAGGGTAGTATTAAAGAAACTACAAAACTGTTTCCAAAGTGGTTACACTTTTGCATGCCCATTAGCACCAGCAGCATTTGAGAGTTCCAATTCCTCCAAATTCTTGCTCATATTTGGAATAGTCAATCTTTTAAAATTTTAACTAATCTCTTTCAGTGGTAAATTAAATTGAACATTCATAAAATTAGGACATAGATTTAGATCTTTGATCCATTTTGAGTTGATTTTTGTATAAGGTGTAAGGAATGGGTCTTGTTTCATACTTCTGCATGCGGAGATCCAATTTTCCCTGCACCATTTATTGAAGAGATTGTCCTTTCTCCAGGGATTGATTTTTAGCTCACTTGTCAAAGAGGAGTTGGTTGTAGATATATGAATTGATTTCTGGGGTTCCTATTCTGTTCCATTGATTGACCTGTCTATTTTTATGCCAGTACCAGGCTGCTTTGCTTTTAACTACCCTGTAATATGTCTTGAAATCTAGTATTGTGATGCCTCTAGCTTTATTTAAGATTGGTTTAGCTATTTGGGGTCTCTTGTGTTTCCACATGAATTTTAGCATACTTTTCCTAGATCTGACAAGAATGCCAATGGTATTTGGATTGGGATTACATTGAATATATAAATTGCTTTAGGTAGTATTGATATTTTCATGATATTAATTCTTCCAGTCCATGAGTATAGAAGATTGGAAGATTTCTTCATATTTTATATCTCCTTTTATTTCTTTAATGTTTTATAATTTTCATCATAGAGATCTTTTACCTCCTTGGTTAAATTTATTCCAAGGTACTTAAATATTTTTGTAGCTAATTTGAGTGGGATGAATCTTTTTTTTTTTGTAAAGATTTATTTATTTTACTTGAAAATCACAGTTACACAGAGAGATGAGAGGCAGAGAGAGAGAGAGAGAGAAAGAGAGAGAGAAAGTCTTCCATCCACTGGTTCACTCCCTAGATGGCTGCAATGGCTGGAGCTGTGCTGATCCGAAACCAGGAGCCAGGAGCTTTCTTCTGTGTATCCCACATGTTTGCAGGGGCCCAAGGACTTGGGCCATCTTCTACTACTTTCCCAGGCCATATGGCATCCTGGCACTGCAGGCGGCAGCTTTAACCGCTATGCCACAGCGCTGGCCCCGAGTGGGATGAATCTTACAATTCCTTTCTCAGCTATCACACTGCTTGTGTATACAAAGGCTATTGATTTTCTGAATTGATTTTATATTCTACAACTTTACCAAACTCTATTAGGAGCTCCAGTAACCTCTTAGTGGAGTCTTTTGGTTCCCTTGTGTATAGAAACATGTCTTCTGCAAACAAGGATAATTTGACTTCTTCCTTTCTAGTTTTTATCTCTTTGAGTTCTTTTTCTCTTGCCTAACAACTCCAGCTAAACCGAAACTGTCTTGAATGGCAGTGGTGAAAATGAGCGTCATGTCTGGTTCTGATCTTAGTGGAAATGCTTCAAACTTTTCCCCATTCAATATGATGCTGGATGTTTGTTTGTCATAAGTTGCCTTGATTGTGTTGGGGAATGTTCCTTCTAGGCCCAATTTGCTTAAGATTTTTTTTTAGTCATGAAAGAATTTTGTATTTTATCAAATGCTTTTCTATGTCTATTGAGATAATCATATGGTTTTTATTCTTCAATTTGTTATTGTGATATAATCATATTTATTGATTTGTATATGTTGAGCCATCCCTGTATACTAAGGATAAATCCCTCTTGGTCTAGATGAATGATCTTTCTAATGTGTTGTTGGATTCAATTATTTAGTATTTTGTCTTGAGGATTTTTGCATATTTTGGTTTTGATATTGGTCTATAGTTTTCTTTCTTTGGTATATCTTTTTCTACTTTTAGAATTAAGGTGATGCTGGCCACATAGAAGGAGTTTGAGAAGACCTCTTACTTTCAGTCGTTTTAAGTAATTTGAGAAGATTTGTAATTCATTCTTTTTTTAAAAGATTTATTTATTTATTTGAAAAGCAGTGTTACACAGAGAGAGAAGGAGAGACAGAGGGAGAGAGAAGTCTTCCATCCACTGATTCATTCACTCCCTAACTGGCTGTAACAGCCGGAGCTGTGCTGATACAAAGCTTGGAGCCAGAAGCTTCTTCCAGGTCTCCCATACAGGTGCAGGGACCCAAGGACTTGGGCCATCTTCTACTGCTTTCCCGGGCCATAGCAGAGAGAAGGATCAGAAATGGAGCAGCTGAGATTCGAACTGGCACTCATATGGGAAGCCGGCACTGCAGATGGCAGCTTTACCCGCTATGCCACAGTGCCGGCCTCAGAATTCATTCTTTAACAGTCTGGTGGAATTAGCAGTGAAGCCATCTGGTCCTGTGCTTTTCTTTGTTTGGAGGGTCTTTATTACTGATTCAATCTCCATCTTGGTTTTTGTTCTGTTTAGGTTTTCTGTGTCTTAATGATTCAATTTTCATTCATTGTATGTGTCCAGGAATCTATGTATATATTCTAGAATTTTCCAATTTGTTGGCCTACAGCTCTTTGTAGTAATTCCTGATTATTCTTTTTATGTCTGTGATATCTGTTACACTTCCTTTGTAATATCTGATTTTTATTGATTTGGGTGTTTTCTGTCTTTAGTTAGTTGGGCCAATGGTTTATCAGTTTCATTTATATTTTTTAAAAAATGGCTCTTCATTTCACTGATATTTTATATTTTTTCAGTTTCAATTTTCTCTATTTCTTCTCTAATTTTGATTATTTCTTTCCTACTAATAATTTGGGTTTAGTTTGTTGTTTTTCTAGATCCTTGAGATGCATTGATAGCTCATTTATTTGATGCCTTTCCAATATATTGATGTAGTCATTAATTGATTTAAACTTCCTTCTTTTTTTTTTTTTTTAATTTTGACAGGTAGAGTTATAGACAGTGAGAGAAAGAAAGAGAGAGAGAGAAAGGTCATCCTTCCACTGGTTCACTCCCCAAATGGCTGGATGGCTGGCGCTGCGCCGGCCCGAAGCCAGGAGCCAGGTGCCTCCGCCTGGTCTCCCATGCAGGTGCAGGGGCCCAAGCACTTGGGCCATCCTCCACTGCCCTCCTTGGCCATAGCAGAGAGCTGGACTGGAAAAGGAGCAACCAGGACTAGAACCCAGTGCCCATAGGGGATGCCAGTGCTGCAGGTGGAGGATTAGACAAGTGAGCCACGGCACCAACCCTAAACTTCCTTCTTAACACTGCTTTTGCTATATCCTATAAGTTTTGATTTGTTTTATTGTCACCCTCATTTGCTTCCAGGAATTTTTTTTTTTTTTTGACAGGCAGAGTGGACAGTGAGAGAGAGAGACAGAGAGAGAAAGGTCTTCCTTTGCCGTTGGTTCACCCTCTAATGGCCACCATGGCCAGCACACTGCGACCGGCGTACCACGCTGATCCGATGGCAGGAGCCAGGTACTTATCCTGGTATCCCATGGGGTGCAGGGCCCAAGCACTTGGGCCATCCTCCACTGCCCTCCCTGGCCACAGCAGAGAGCTGGCCTGGAAGGGGGGCAACCGGGACAGAATCCGGCGCCCTGACCGGGACTAGAACCTGGTGTGCCAGCGCCGCAAGGCGGAGGATTAGCCTAGTGAGTCGTGGCACCAGCTTCCAGGAATTATTTTTAAAGATTCATTTATTTATTTGAAGGGCAGATTTACAGAGAAAACAAGGAGATACAGAGAGAGTTTATTCATCCATAGGCTCACTCACAAATGGCTGCAATGGTGGGAGCTGAGCCCATCTGAAGCCTGATACCATGAGCTTCATCTTTCTCTGCTTTCCCAAGCCATTAACAGGGAGCTGGATCAGAAGTGAAATATCTGGGACTTGAACTGGTGCCCATATGGGATGCCGGTGCTGTGGACAGCTTCTTTACCCACTATGCCATAGCGCTGACCCCTCCAGAAACTTTTTGATTTCTTCTGTGACCCACTGTGTATACAGGAGTATGTTGTTCAGTCTACATGTCTTTGCATATTTTCTAGAGATTCCTATTGTGGT